AACCAGGACAAAATTTCTAGACAGCCACTACCCAAACTAGAAAATTACCATCATGGGCAGAATCTGCCTATAAAAGACCCACAATAACTGATAAGATTCTAAAATACTTTGAAAAACCATATGGCCTTCCAATAATGGAAATAGAAGTCGAATGGTTTAAATTAAACCGTTCAGAAATAGCAAAAAGAGTTTTTCCTCAAGATTGTTATGTTGTACCATCATCATCAGAACAAAAAAGAGAATTTTATGAGTTAATCCTTATTGATTCAAAATCAATAGAATTAACCCATAAAAGAAATGAGAAAAAAGAAATCATTTTTTTAAAATTTAAAATCTGTCAAATACTCACTCCAAAAGAGTGGGGACAACACTTATACTGTTATCAGAAATTTATAATAGAATATCAGCCTCCACAATATAATTACTTTGATTATATAAAAGCATGGGAGAAATTTCTATTTCTTCGACCAGACATCCATTCCTGGTTCATTTGGTTCAAGAAAGAGATTTCTTTATATTTTTCAAAATGGTTTTCAGCTTGGTTCCATAATTTTGGGCCAGTTAAACAGATCCTATCAGAAAGAGCTCAAATTGTCTTAGCTCATTTCCAAGAAAAAACTAATTTTCAAGAATCATATAAATTTATTTCCTTTATAGCCTCACAAGGTATCTCATGGATTATGATGTGGCAATATGATTCGGCCAAATTGGAATATGATGCATCAATACAATTGTTAATCAGAACCATAAAAGTTAAGTGGTGGATTAATTTTGATTTAGACTTATTAACCACCGAGAAAATTATGCAATGGGTACAAAATAATATTCAACATCCTCCTTTGAGTGAAAATGTGATAAAAGATAAACAAAAGCAAGCCTTCTTACAACAGAAAGCAAGATTTCTGGCCAATCTAAGTACAGTTGGAAGTGAAGAAGAATTCAAAAAGATCATTGAAACCATATCTCCAGAGGTTACAAGTATATCCTTTGACAAAGACAACAGAAGAAGCCTTAGTCCAGCCGGAGATGATGACTACGACTATTTTGATAATGAAGACAACTGCTATGGTGTAGCCACAAAAGACAATAGACTTGATAAAAGCAAAAGAAGACTCGACATAAAGAAAAAGAAGATTTAACAAAAGAAGAAATTATTTGACACAAGAAGACAAAAGACTCGACATAAAGAAAAAGAAGAAATAATTACACTAGAAGACAATGGACTTGACAAAAGAAGATAAGAGAGAATCTTAGAATAGTAAAATTTCACACATAAATTGTAAGCTCAAGCTCATTTGAAAGCACGAGCAAATTTACTACTCTCAATATCCTTAAGAAAAACCCTTTCATTGTAATAGTCTTGATGTCTATTTGAGAAGTTTGTACTACAATATTGTAAGTTTTTATCAAAATTTTAATATATCATCATTTTCATTATGTTTACTTTTATTCTAAAATCAGAACAATATCGATCCGTCTGAAACTGGTATCAGAGCCTGAACAGGTTCTAATTTCAGGAGGAAGAAGAGGGATTGATTATAAAATTTTATGTCTTACAAAATCATAATGCCTTTTTAAACCCATTCTTCTGGTATTGTTAATATATATATATATATATATATATATATATATATATATATTATAGGACGATAATCCTCAAGTGAATGCGCTTCTGTTTGAGTTTGATTTTGAATTATTCTCTCTCCACCATTGCGAGAAAAAATGGTGTAAAGAGAAGCAATAGAGAAAAATAACAAATAATCTAATTATGCTCCTTTTTTTTCTCAATTGATTTCTTCATTTTCTTTGGCTCCCTCGTCTTCTACACGCCACCATCCTTTCGATCTAACCTTCAAGCCACTATTGCATTTATGAAAACAACTTGAGATTAATCCTTCATTCTCTTATATTTAGATTTAAGGTGGTTGAAAAAGAAAAATAATAACTTGGGTAACTATAACATCTTGAAAGAAGACAAAAACACAAAATTTGAACTTGAAATGGTTGTTGGTTGGTTGTCCTTAAAGTTAAAAGAAGAAAGGAAGTAGAAAATGAGGCCTAAAAGTAAAATGCCATGCAAGTTGTGTAACATATAACACAATATGATAGCACATAAGGCAAATGAGATAGAAAGTAAAAGACGCGTTATGTGTTTTTTTGTTTAGGTATATGTATTATTGAATATCCAATTTTCAAATCAATCTCGACCATAATAACTATACGTGTTAACCCCTAATTTTTTACCTTATATTATTCGAACTCAATTCAACCCATTCAAAATTATGCCAACCCTTCTCCATCAGATAGCATACATCACTAAGACACCAAATGTCCCATTAGTACTATTTTCGGACTTGAGTTGTCTGCTAAATTGAGAGGCACTTTGAGGAAATGTTGACCTTAGAAGACATTAAGAGGCCATTCCCACGAAATCTCACTACTTTGTCCTTTTTTCGGTACTAAGCACGATCCTCAACTTTTGACTCTTTTTTCTTTCTTTTCACCAAAACATTGCTTAGTCTTTTATGCTTTATAGACCATATACTTTATTTTCAGGACTGTTTGGAAGAAAAATTTAAAAGAACAAGCAGAGAAGAACAACTTTTTAATTTTAAATTAATAAAATTATATGACATTTATAATAATAAACAAAAATATAATATATTGTGTTTATATTAATAAATTATTTTATATTTTTAATTTTGAAAAGTTATTAAATTATTTTATCTTTCAAAACCTTTTTCCCCAGATATTAATAATAAAAAAAAGAAAGATAAATGTAAAAAAAAATGTGTATCATAAAATAAGTAAACTATGAAAAAGGATTATAAGAATAGCATTATTTTTCATTTTAATGCCTCAAAGTTTTTTTTTTTTACTGTTCATTACAAGTGTGAATTTTCCATAGGTAATGTTATTTGCCGGTGGCCTTTGTCTGAGAGATAACATTCCATCAATTGGGGGCAGAGCAGGGATGGGTTTGATTTTCCCTTTCTGTGTTGAATTTAAGAGAGAGAGAGAGAGAGAGAGAGAGAAACAGTCTTACATATTGCAAATGAAAGCATCCATTGACTATAAAATGATTATATTAAACTGAAGAACGTTCAATATGATTTTCTAAGACTTACATGAAAGAAAAATTACTGACTATTAATATTTTCTTTGTTAACTTATCATGGGTATAAAAGATTTAAAAAACAAAGCCAAAGACCATTAAAGAATAATATTTTCATTTCGAAGGACGCAGAAAATTAAAATGATTAAAATTGTCCATTCAAATTGTAGTTAGATAGATGAAGTATCTAATTTCACCAAACTACTGAAATAAAAGTTTAATCCCCCTCCCCCTTTTCTTTATTTTCACTATTTTTTTTAATTACTATAAGGTTTTTAACCTCTTTAGTGGCGAAGTATTACAATAGCAATTATGCCCCTAATAAAAACATAATTTTTACTAAATATATACATCCTGTGTTAATAGACTTTTCCAATAAATTAAGAGATTATTTTTTTGTTCCAAACTTTTTTTACAGTTTATTATTTCAAACATAAGTAGTTAAAGTGAAAATATTAACAACAAAAATTAAAATCATAAAAACAAAGATTAACAGATAATTTCTTGAGCAAAGATAGTTATTTGTATTTTAAAAAATAGTTAAAAACTTCAATCTTGATATAATTATTGATGACACCAAGCATTTGAAAAAAAATGAAGAGCAATACTTTAAGTAGATATAATTTTTTATTTGATTTTGTAATTACTTTCGTGTTAATAGTATTAGGATAGTAAATTTTATGCACGTGGGTGATTAATTTGTTTGAGAATTGTGTAACTATATTTTCACACTGAAAAAGAAAAAAAACTCTGTTTATATATATATATATATAGAAATGAATCCACTAGACATTTGATGCTTCTTGTCAGCAGGTAGCACTCTTTTTTTTTGGTCAGTGACATCCACTGGTTATTGCACGAATGGTTACTGCTTCTATGAATAGATAATATACTAGACATTGAATGGTCAATGGTTTAACATTTATTTATTTTTGGTCATTTCGAATTGCTCAATATTAGTAATTAGGTGACTAACTATAAAGTAAATGTTTATTATTTATTTTTTAGTGGTTAATAATATGATATTTGATATGAACGACTATCACTTTTCTCTAATTAGTCAATAACAACTATTAAGTGATTATCACATAAATGATCATCGCTCATGTTTGAGTGACTAACAATAATCACCTAAGTACGTAATCTACATGACATGCATCAACCACACAATAAAGCAGAACATTGGGAAAAAAAAGCCCAGAATTTTCTTACTACATAAGAGAAATATCCATATATACACAGTATGCCTGTAATGCACCAGACAGTTGACATCTGGTCCAATGACTAATTTAAGCACGGTTTGAAAAAAAAAATCAAAATAAATTGTTTTTATCTTATTCTAATAAATTTTATTGTTAAATATATAATATAAGATATCATTTTAAAAAATTATTAAATAAGTACTTAAATAAATAATTATTCAAACGGACTATAAGTAGAAGATACAAAAAAAAATTATAAGGATAATTTTACCTATTATAAAAAATAATTGATCATTCTCATTCATTCTATCCGATTTAAATTTAAATAATTTTTATTTGATGTATTTTTGTCTTTTTAACGGTCATGAACAAAAATATGCTATGCTGCACAGTGAAGGGTAATTCAATTGCTACCATTGCACCAAGAATAAGCAATCTACAGAAAAACAAAAGGTCAGCTTTCACAAAATTCAAGGTTGGGTATTAGGTGGGAAAATTTTGATAGGAATCACTTTTGACAAATTTTACATCAGGACAAGATAAAACAAAAACTTATGATGGCTCTGGTATTTTTCTATTCATCTTCACACGCACACGAGTCGGGAGCAACAGTGTCCGTCACTTGAGAAATGAAGAAGAAAGCTTACTGATTGATACGGATTGGGATAAGGAGAGCACCAATAGTCCAATACCATACTTGGTATTCTCTCTCTCCCTCCATTAGATAAGAGGTCCAATTACTTTTAAATAATAAAACAAAGAAAAAGCACCATCATTTTCTGCTGGACTTGCAACACCCAGCATTCTTAAAGCAACCATTATCCAATTCAACTCTGAATTTCAAATTCTCTAAGAGTTACATCACTAGTAAAAATATACACACCACCTTAAACTTTTAGAAGGTCCCACTGCCCACTACAAAAACTAAGCCCCATTATAAAAGCGCTTCCATCACGTTCCACTAACCCCCACCCAATGATACAAAAAGCAGGAGCATATCAAGTGAACTTCGACAATTTCTTTCCCTTTACATGAAATTTATCAAGATGGGGTCTGCTTGTATTTTTAAGGGCATTGACATCGAACCCTATACAGACAAAAGTTGAAAGAACGGCAAAAAAGAACGGACTATGGCATCCTACTTTGAATGCAACTTGATACGAACCAATGACTATGATTAAGGGGGTTTGGAACAGACAAACAACGCGTGGGTCCTAGCAGGATTAGGTGAGCCCTTTATGGGACCACCACTGGATGGTGCATCTATGCCTGAAGTGTTCTATGAAGGAGGAGTAGTTTCAGGCTTAACTATACTGGAGCTATCTGACGGTTGTGACGGGTATATAGCTGATGCCAGTGATATAGGCATGATGCAGAGAGCCTTTGATTGAAGAAACTGCATGGCAGCCCCAACATTTTCTTCCATAAGCTTAGCTACCTGTTTTTCTGTGCCATCATTTGACCACTTCTCCCACGCTGGTTGGTTTCTTCCACCCTCACTCCCTTCTTCCTGATCAATACTAAATTTGATAAATTGTTTGGAGAGCAAAACATACTTTTACTAGCAACTCATTAGTTAGAAATAATTACCTCGACTGACGATAATGGGATGTCAGTTACCAGTGGTGCCACTGCACCCGCTCCACCCAATCTACTCATGCTCAAAACCTGAAAGGCAGATGAATTAGCAGTCAATTGACAGTCTTAAGAGTCTTTTGCACTCCAGTTTCATTTTAAATTTGGATCTTATGAAGTGCCTTGCTTTCTCTTTCATATTTAAAGAGTAATACGTACACCCACATATGTCTAGAGAAATCAGTGGAAACTGGTTAATATAAGTTTGTAGAAATCGGTTTTACTATTCACAAATATTGAAAATAAGACCATCAATTGGTGAAGACAGTTGAGACCATAGCTGAGGACCCTAGGATACTATTGGGTAGTTAAAAGTAGCTATGGCACAAAATAGTGTGAAGATGCTATCATTCGATTGTATTCACTAGTCTTTGGGAATAAAGTACAGTGGCTAATGGATGCTCATCCAAAGTACCATTGGGGGTTCCTAAGCACGAGTTGAATTGAATCCCAACAAAATGATTATTGTAAGGGGTGAGTGCCTCAGTGGTCAGAAGGCAAAGGTTAGCAGGTTTAACAAAATAAAACACAAATCGAATTAAAAGCTGTCATAATTCGATGAAATGTAAAATACATGCAGATCACAAGAACATTAACCTTCACTTGAAGCCTCAAGAATTTGACATAATCCACAATTTCATCCAGCATGGCAGCTCTATCTGTCTGAAGAAATACACAATAATATTAGAAATAATGGAAAAAAATGATGCTGGAGACGGCCAAGAGAAATACAGCAGACCACAAATAAGTCAAAATCTCTATATCTTGAAACACAGACTTATTTAATACTTCAAGAACTCTAAATTTGAAGCACACCTAATCAGAACATATGCACATGTTCTCTTCTAACCCCTTTGATAGAAGATTAGAGGATTTTTCCTGGATTAATTATATTGTAATAAATAATAATAATAATAATAAATGTCAAATAGAAAATGTCAGATATGGGCCATCAAGAAATTTTAAGAACATAAACCTAATCCAAAACTGATTTGTAGGTCCATATGCAGATGCCAATTTCAAATTCAAACACATTAAGTTAGCTAAACCTTTCGTTAAGGTAGATATTTTGAAAAAATATATTATATATAGAGCCCCATTCTTGTAAGACAGTAGTATTGTACATCAGACCTTACACAGACGCCACAATGGTGGAAGCATGAAAGCCTCAAGCACTGGATCACCCTTTTTATATAGAGCCCCTATGTTTCAATGTCTATGACTCACTTCATATATTGATGGAAAAACAAACAAAAATTTCACCAGTTCTATAGACAAGTGCCAAACTACATATTGTAATAAAATAACATGTCAGAGAAGTCAAATACCTTGTTGACACTAGGAACCAGGTCTTGCAAAGCCCTGATTCTTTCAGCTATTCTTTCTCTGCGCAACTATTATTGAACAGCAACATAATAAAGAAAAATTAGCTAATTTTGAATGTTAAGCATCATAACAAGAAGGTTTGTATTCTTGAAACTATCCCAGAGCCCACCCTTTCAGCTATGCTGTGTGGATCTGTAGCCTGTCCTCTTCTGGCTCGCACCCTAGGTCGCATTGTTGGCGGATGTGGAGCAGTAGGAACGGTAGTAGGCATGGGTTGCCCATGAAAAACCTGCAAAAAGGTAACCTGATCAACAACTTTCCCCCTAGCACTCCCGAAAGCAGAAAATTATTATTATTTAAAAAAAAAATATTGCAAAAAAGTAAGCATTTATTTATGGATTAGTTGAAACCCAGCATAGCATATCCTATATGGTTTAGGAGGTTAAAAGAATTCACGGAGAAAAAAGAAAAAGATCCTAAGTAGTAATGCCAAGGCCCGAATAGCATAATTTCTACTATTTCATAATCTGAAATTTCCAGACAATTTCCAAACAACTACAATTGGGCCCCAATCTTACATTCCTCAATATCAAGTCACAGTTCATCCATCTTCAACTTGAATTATTATCCTCCAAGTCAACTATCACTAGGATTAACTCACGAAGAACAAAATTTCAGCAAGAGCGATTGTGGATCCAATAGCAAGTCACCACCAACAAAAGCAAGCCCAAAAATTTTGTTACCATGTGAGGCAGTTGAAGAATGTCGTTTCCGAGATTTAATTATTCAAAGAGAGTACCATTCCACTGCTGTGCGTTATTTCCATTAAATTTCAAAACATTTTTAATTTACTTGTATTATATTATATAAGCTATGGCTAAGCAACGAACCTTGTCCAATATAACTTATCTTCTTTCATTTACTACCAACAAAATCTCATTTAATAAATAAATAAATCACTACTCACCAAACATAGTTCTAAGCATTCTATTCCCCCGTCATGGAATAAAACACGAAACTCAAATTCAAGAAATAGATATACTAACATGAGAATTGAAAATTTGACGAGGAAAATAAGAATTGAAAAGATGAATTTACATTCTTGGGTCTGGTATCGACGACGTCGTCGCGGAAGCGCTTGCCGCTTCCAGAAGCATCCTCGAAGGTACCTTTACCTTGGTCCAAGCTGAGTCCCAACTGGTAAGGCGGTGCGTGAAAGGCTGTGCCGGCGGCGAGGTGGGTGGCGGCGTCGGCGGAGTTGAGCTGAAGCATCATCGGAGAAGCATCGGTAGGGGGCAAGGCAGAGTCGGTGGAAGCGAAGGTGGGAAGGCCAAGGATTTGCTCGAAGAAGTCGTCGGTGGTGGCCTCGGAGGGGTGATTGGCCATGACTCGGTGTGGACTCGGGCGAGTTGGGGTAACGAGTTATGGGTATGCAATTGCAGGGAAATAGAAATATAGAAAAAGAATGATGTGTCTACATGAGATGATATGAATAATTTTGGTGTGCTCTGCATTGATTCCGTTTCGTTTCGTTTCGTTTCGTTTCGTTTCGTTTCGTTGTGTGTACAGAGACGATACGAGAGGAGTGCAGAGGTTGAATGTGAGTGGCTTTATTCTTCTGCTTATATACCGTTCCTCTTTTTCATTTAAAGGACTCCATTTTTCCATTATTTACGCCTCCCACCCACCCTTTTCCCTATGACACTACTTCTCTTCATTAATGCACACTTTCATTTTCCTTTTAATTATATTAAATAAAATACATGTTAGTAACATATTTTTAATTACACTCTTATTGTTATTTCAAAAAATTTATAAATTTTAGTTTATAATTAAAAGTATGTTACCAAGAGTGTATTTCTAATATTTTTCAATATTTTTCATTTTCAATTTATAAAATTAATTAATAATTAACACATTTTTTTTATAATCTTATCCTTAATAACCAATGTTTGTTTAACAAGCATAAATTTAAAGATTTTCACCTATAGATTAAGAAGGCTTTGATTAATACGATTTTTTAACGTTATATGAAAAAAGTTAATTCATTAATAATATTAAATATTATATTTTTTAATAAAAAATCATTTATTAAATTTTATTAAGTGCCTTTAAATGTACATTAAAAAATTGTAATTAATACACAGAGCTGTAATTAATAACACAATTTTGTAATAAATAAATAACTAAAATAAAGAGCTTATAAAATTTTTAATTTAATTAATAAAAATATTTCAAATAACTTTTAATTTATTGGAAACTAGTTTTTAATATTTTTTAATTTATACTCACATAAAATGATTTTTTTTTTGCTAAGCACATAAAATAATTTTAACACTTACTTTTTAGTCATCGAAATATATTATAACTAGTCATACAGCTAGTTTTATCTAGCAATTTTAATTAAATTAGCTAACTTTACCAAACAAACTTTATATAAAAATATTTTGACTTAAAAAAGACACATTTAATGTTAAGAGAAAAGAAAAAGTAAGTAAAAATATGAAATAATTAGTTAAATTATATTTCATCAAAATCATTAAAAACTGGTACAGTTGATTTTTTTTAATAAGTCTTAAAATATGAAACAACAAAACATAAGAAATAGAAAAAGTGAGAGGTAATTGTTATAATAGATTAACGGCATAATAAGAAATTAAGCAATATTTTTTTTATAAAATTTAAAATACAAACGATTTTCTTAATTTCTCTGCAAAATCGTAAACGTGAAATAAAAAAATGGAGGTAATGCAATAATAGGCCCTCTTTACCGTAAGAATAATTATAAATATTTCTACCTTTTATTCTTATATATTTTCTTAATCATTAAATTAAAATATATTAAATATAGTTTATGTTTTTAAAATAAAAAAATAGGAAATGTATAATAATTTTTTTAAAAAAAAGCAATATTTTTACTGAATAATTTCATCTAAACATGTACTTGGTCTTATAATTTCAAGTTTGAAGTATAGGTTTTGACTGATTTGTAAATTTGAAGCGAGACTGGTAAAAAATCAACAAATATAAAAGAAATCGTGAACGTTCCTATCAAAGGTCCGTTTCATAAACCTTTTACTTTAGTTCATGGGTTTACAGTTTTTAATTTATCATAATCCTTGTCCACCGTGTTATTTCAAGGATGATTATGCATATGCATCCGTAATGGAAAAGCATTCTCTTAAGAATGGTTATGCATAAGCATTTGTAAGAGACTCTTAAGAATCTACTCACATCACATCTACTCACATCATATAACTAAATGAAGTTAGAAGTGCTTTTAGATATATAGTTTATTTATACACTTATTTTATAAAAAAAATAAATTATTTTTAAGCAATGACTTATTTAATAATATCGGATAAACTCTCCAAAATCATTTTTATAAGTTATTCATGAATTCTCCTGTATATGTCCAAAATTAATATCAAACGCCTTAATTAGAACAGGAGAGATATCTCTAGGGCAAATAAAGAGAAACCATCGACGTACATGCGCCTAGCCCAAAATAATTTATTCCACGTTTCTACTAAACCGATTCTATATTAGTACGGAAGCAATGTTGTGTATAGAGTGACAGCTCAGTTACATAAACCGATTCTATATTCAATTTTTTTACATTACTTTGACATTTCTTTATTTATATAACTGCATAAAAAATTAGGGATAATTTGTATAATCAAGAAGAATATGCAATGTTATGTTATTTCATAGGTTAAGGGAGATTTATACATAAGACAAAAAAAGATGTTTTTATAATCTTAAGCCCAAAGACTCCCAACAAATTTTCTACCCTGAACAACTAGAAAAGAAAATTCAAGAATCAATACTTTCAATATAAAATCTATTCTAAATTTCTAATACGTATTATTTTTGTATTTACAAAAACTACAAATTAAGTACATTTAACATCCAGAATATAAAGTACTATGTAGGATTACCATATCAATCATATTTGATTTTGGGGCTGTGAAAAGAATTCCTTTGCATTATGAGCTACCTCTGCCTCCAAAACTGCTTCTAGAACTATGTCAGATCCTTTCACATCAGCTGTTAATACAACCAAAGCTTGTTTCATATTAGATATCATTGTAAAACAAACAGAAGCCCATCAAATATCGATTTGCATTATGACTAGTCACTCAATCATAGACAGACAAGACAAAAAGCTACCATGCACTCATCAAGAAAAAGAAAAGGAATTTATGCGTTTCACTATTAAATAAATAGCAATAGCTATAACATCCTAGTGCATACCAAATGCGCCACAATATAAACAATGAACGAAACTCAGGCAACAATCTTTACTTCAGGGCTTTCCGGCTAATCAAATATAGCTCGAATGAAATAAGTAAACAGATTAACCAAATCACATCTGAAAACATGTGTGTGAGTGTAATGGAAGTAACAAAAAGCTACATAATTTAGTGCCATTACATATGCACGTATGTGGCATACATATATAGGAAGCCATAAACATGACTTGACCACAATATATAGTGCACAAACTGTAAATATGAAAAAAAACAAAACAAAAAAACACCAGTAAAATGCTCTAATTATCCTCCTGTGAATATATTAGACAATCATGATAAGGAAAGCCAACAAAACAACATAAATTGTCATTACCCCCACGATTTGGTAATAGTCCAGCATTTTCAGCAGAAATTGGTAAGACAGTGAGCTGTACTTCATCTTTAATCTTCTCAACTTCAGCACTACTTGCTGATAAATCATTCTTTATGGCAGGGGACTCTGCCAATCTGGCATACATAGTTGCTTGACTTTGCAAATTGCATGAATTGGATAACAATGGAGTTGAATCCTGGAAATATTTATAGACATGTAAGCACACTCAGTTCCTCAAGCAACATATAATTATCTAAAGTTGTGGGTTGGGCCGGTAAACCTTGATAACAGTGGGGATCGAGTTATTGTCTTCAGAATCTTCTGGTTTTCTATTGTCTATATCATCAACGACAGAAGATAACACAATTAAACAAAATCTAAGCAACTGTATCAATAAAAATTAGAATACTAAACTATGTTTCAAAAATCGTTAAATAATACCATTAGAGATAGATCTCTGGTCAGTATTATCTACAAGCCTCCGTGACAAAGGACCAGGATTTATGATTGATATACTTCGAATTTCATGCCGAATAGCATCTAACTGAGCCATTGTGTCTTGGAGTTCCTTATGAACCTAAAAGACGAAATAGGTCAATACAATAAAATGTGGTTTTTGATGATGAAATGTCATTGCCAAGTCCAAGTATGAAAGAGCATTTCTTGATGGAGTATAAAAATGTTCCTAACTTTTATGTTATTTGATATTATTGTCTAAATTCAAAGTGGATTGTACATACATAAGATTCTAGAATGCCAGATTGTCATATTTTTCAGGTTAAACATAACAAATTTGCAATCAATATTAAGACAGTCTATAAAAACCTAATGAAACTAATCCCTGTGAGCTATAACTCTGATTGGAAAAAGAGGAATACCTGGCGAGCTTGAGATTGCTGCATAACGGTATCAAACTGACCACGAGCCAATTGTACGTATCCAATAGCTCGACCAGCTAGCCTTCCTGCTGTTCTGGATATGATTGGTAAATCCTTTGGACCTATTACACATCCATTTGCCAAATTAAGAAAATTATATTCAAACTATTAATAAATTTTCCATGTGATAAACAGAAGAGTAGTATGAATGAACCTATCAGAGCAGCAGTGGCTCCAAGCAACAGAAATATTTCTCCATATGAAAATCCCAGCATTGCTCACTGTCGTGTTATGAGATCTCCGCTGGAGGAGTCAGAAGGCAGCATAGTTAGAGTAGTAGGGATCGTCTCTGAATGAAATCAAGTAAGCCAAATTCCTTCAAAATATTACTTAAAACATGATTGGGCCCCACAGAGTTTGAAAGTTCTCCTCCTCTCGTTTTGTTGTTTTAGTTAAAACGAGGAAATTGGAAAAAAAAAGAAAAGAAAAGGAAAATATAGAAATATTTACAACAGCTTCTCCTCAAAAGACAATAAGATATCATGCCAACACTTGTTTTATTTTTTGTAGTCATGGAGGTTTATTATATTCAAATTTTAAGGAACATATAGCACATGTGCACCTTTAATTTCCAAAATGGTAAATCATCGTTGATCTGAAACTCAATTCCTTTTCAAATATTAAAGAAAAAAAAAACCCTCAATTAGGTATTGCCGGCGACAAATTTTTTCCCCCAAATTGACAAAGGAAAGAAAGAAACGACACGTACCTCCGTTGTTCCCTGAAATATTCTCCTCTGAGACTGTAAAATTGAAGAGCAACAAACTATAAATTAATTCACAACAATTTGTTTTGAGGGAAAAGTAAACAGTTTATTGTTTGGCTTTGTGGGTGGAAGATAGAATTCAGCGAAGGCGGAAGGAAGAGAGATATCACATTGAAATATTATAACAATCTATTGAATTAAATAAAAAAGTTAAAAATAAAGAAATATCTTAACTCTTTCCTCTGATCGAAAACTCGCTATTCTTTTGCTGATGCAGGGTTGAAAATGGTGAATAATGTGCAGTAAAGGGTGTGGGAATAGTACAGTTTGAGTGAGAATAAGGGAAAGAAATGGTGCTCAACAATTGGTGCAGTGCAGCAGAACCACGGTTTTGGAAGATACACTGTAAAAGAGTGGAAGGGTAAAATAAGAATATGAATATATATATATATATATATATATATATATATACATACATATATATTATTTATCTCTCATTTTTAATTATAAAATTAAATTTTAAGTTTAATTTTAATTTTAACTATTATTTTATTTATTTTTCATACTTTTTCTTTCAATTATTATATATTATTCTATTATCATATATAATATTATAACTATATAAGATAAAATAATATTTTATTTAAATATTTTTCATCTATAATTAATGTTTTTTGTATTTTAAAATTAACTTCATGTTTAAAAATTATATTTCAAACAATTTATAAGTAAAAATATAATAATAGTATAAGTTTTCTTTTTTGCATTGTTAACTAATAAATGATTTAAAAATAATAATTATTAAGATATAATTTTTATTAATATGAAAATTTATAATTAAATAACAATAAAAATATTTCATTTTATTAATAAATTTTAATAAATTAATAATTTATTTTACATACTTTTTAAAAATCAATTAATAATAAAATTAAATTTATATATCTATGTATAGCGTGATGACTAAATATAATTATTTTTTAAAATTATAGATATAGTTTATATTTTCAAAGTTATTATTTTATTTCGATATAAATATACATATCAAAATTTTAAATATATTATTAATCTATTCTTAAAACTTAAATTATAATTAATTTAGTTTCTAGTATTTATAATATTTTAATTAAAAATAACATAAATTAATATAATTTATTGAATTAAATTATTAAATATTACTATCTTCAGTCTTATTTATTAAAATTAAAAAAAAATATACATCATAAATTACTTTTATTTTTAAAATACATATAATATTAATTAATATTTTATATATTAATAAAATAAATATACCCACTATATGTTTTTTTATAAAAATTTTACTATAAATAAAAATATAAAAAAGTATAGCAATTAATATATTTTAAAATAGTTATTTATTTTTAATATTTTAAAAGAAATATTGATATTTTTTTATAAATGTGACAAGAAGTAATATAATTTTTAATAAAATTTTGTATTTATTAATTTTTTATCATATACAATTTTGTATAAATTATAAAATTGTCTCTACATTTTTTTAACAAATTTTCTTTTTTTTTATAAAAGTCGTGTGATAATGTAAAATTAAGAAACAACACTATAACAAAATAACGTAGACTCACACAAAAAAAATAAAAAAAATGAGTAAATCTTTTATTCACAACAACACAAACTTAATAATTTATTAGACCAAATATCTAAAAATATAGAATAATATTAACAAAAATTAAAGAATAAAAACCTTTATCCTAAAGAAATAAAAAGAAAAAAATATTTACTTTAGTAAAAAGAAAATTAGAGTTAAGAATGAGAGTAGTAAAAATAAAAAGAGAAATGGTGATTACAATAAAAAGAGATAGAGAACAGAAGAATTTTCCAAACTTTAGCAAAACAAAAAGATAATAAAGAGAGGAGTGGCACCACATAAACTAAAAAAAGAGAGAGAAAAGTTTAAATTTATTATGCATCTCTCAACTAAAACCTACTGAATAAAACTGGATCTATGCCTAAGTTTAACGCACACATATTCTGTCGGCAGTAGGTTCTAATGATTTTATGATTTTAAATTCCTCATCAATCATTCTTAACTATTTTAATCCAAAAAAAATATTTTACTTACCCAAAATCCATTCAAATCTATTTTATTTAGGTGAGTTCTTCGGTTTTGTACAAATCAGGAGACGGTTAAGTCGGATCTTGCACAGCCCTACGATAGATCAACAAACTTTTTCTTTGATCAGATAGTTAGAAATGACTATCAACTCGTACCTTTTTAAATTTCTTAAAATGAGAAATAAGCTCTTCAGAATAAATGAATCATGACTAAGTTGACCCTTGAAAGTTGCTGGAAGTGTAGATACTTACAAAAGGAATTCCATGTTCATCACCTACCTCCCATTGTCCCTTGCCCAACGTTAGTAACAAGTGGCTCCTACCTCTAGAAGGATTGTGTAACTATATAAAAAGTTTTAACACAATAAATTATCTGTATCTATCTACTTTTTATTGTGACTACCTATTGCAAAGAAGAGTCGATAACTTCAATTTCTTCAACATTTTTCCTTCTATATGAACATTTTTTGGCTTTTATTTTTGCTATACTCCCAAATTAGAGAGAGTGTGATTGATAAAGTAATTAATAATTTGCACAAAATTGACTCCATTAATCAGCTAATCAATGAAGTAATTCATTTTATGCAAATCAACTAGTCATATCACAAAAAAGCACGTGACGAAGATTACTTGTTGTAGCATACCTAACGTGCATGGAGAATACCACGTAGCATTCAGAATGAACTCTTATGCTGATGTATGCAAAAAAAAGTACATATATATTGATACAATTTCATTGTTTAAAATTAAATGGAATTCTATGGATAACTCTTGTGATGACAAATCACATTCAGATCACAAATCCTTATTTAACATGATATTTACTTTTGGATTTCAACGCAATATTACATGGTTTGCTATACGATTTTGTATATAGTATGAGCACTAGTACGTGGTACGAGAATTTTTTGGAACACGGAAGGAGGGTATGAGTCTTTGGTTTATTATTTCGTATAGAAAGAAAAAAAAGCCCAAATATATTCATACGATTTCATTGTTTCTGTGCAACAGAAGGAGGGTATGCTACTTTTTCATTATGCTTGCTCTAATTCAATAGGTATAGATTCATAATTTGAACACTACTTTTATGTTGTGCATTTCTCTTGCATAATACATTAGTTAGTTTTTGTTTTAAAAAAAAATTCACCTCAACGTTCTTTATCTCCCTTGTGTTCGTTTCCTTTGAATGCAAAGCCTTCTCCAAACACAATCAAACTAGAGTTGCTTGAGAAAAAGCAGAAGAAAGTCACTTCATTGTTCTATTTTCTAATATGATATGAAAATCGAAGCTCTACTATATGCATTTTGGGTTGCAAAACGACCCACAATTGAGAGTGAAGGTTCTAAAACGTGGTGAGAAGGAGATATTAACAAACCATGTGGCTAAGGCAAGCTTGTAACAATTGTTGCCTTCAATAATGGTAGAGAAAAGAGGATGAAGAAAACTTGGAGGTGGCAAATGATGGCTTGCGCTTTGTGGTTTGAGAGGGTGGTGCCACATTAATGAAATGAACATATGACTTGTGACAACTTAAATGTAGAAGTTTGAAGTAAGATCTGGTGCTTAAAAGAGGAAGTTTTGATATTGAATGAAGGAAAATGTGTTGCTATAAGCTAGCTTAGGAAGCTTGAAACCTTTAGTGAAAACTCTCTTGTTTAAAAATCTTTAATAGTTGTCTACTTCTAAAATCTTAAATTTTATGATATGATGTTCAAAACTAGCTACAGTTAACCTTGTAAGTTAAAGAAAAATTCTCTAAGCCAGCTTGTGTAAAGTTATGACTACTACTAATAGACTAATTCACGTCAAAATAAATTAAAGTATAAATATACTAATCTCTTAAAGAACGTGAGTGTAAATTTTAAAATGAAAAGAGAAAGTAATATATATTTTTTTTAAAAGAAGGAGAATATAATTTTTTCAAATAATAATTTTACATTTTCTTATAAAACTTTAAAATGCTAAATGTTTTTGTAATAAAATATTAAATACTTTTATTTTCAATTTCATAAGTTTTAAAAAATAAAGAAAAGTTTACAAGAGATCAAATTATATAACATTACCCTTGCTAAAGAAAGACACTTGAGTATGCATTGAGTATGTATATAAAGTAACCCATGTTCCATGCTTAATTAAAGGAATTATAATTAACATGGACAATGACAAATTTGTCTCATCAATTGAGGAAACCACTAAAACAGAGTGATTAAATAACATGAATGACAGCTCTCAAATATATAGTTTGAGAACACCATCAAACGATATAATCTAGGTTTTCACCAAGATAGGCATGGACTCTCATCGGTTCATACCTAAATATTTGTGCTAAAAATGATTATCTAACAAAATCTTTCAGCTCCACAGTATGATATTTTGTCACGCTAAGCAATGAATTGTGAGCTACAAATTATAATTGTAGTTACACCAACCAAAGAGCATATCATGGTGCTTTATTTATTTGATGCCTCAGAGGGAACATAGGGACCTTCTTCATTCCTACTGGAACTACTTTCTCTCATCCTTGCTGCAGTTGATCCCTCTCCTACTGTAGCCTCTTGCTCATTCCCATCAGCAGTCTTTTTTAAGCTATTGCAACAGTTGTAGACAATTCATCTCAAATTAATTAAACGCATATTCATAAATGAAAAGGTCAAAACTCTTCTACGTACTCTAGTAGATAGATCAAAAGATATCCAATTTCAACTGAGAACTTTATCTATTTGCTAGAAAATGTTGAGGTGGATTATCTATTGTTCTACCTTGGTGATAGTGCTTGTTGAGCCTCATATATGTCTTTCGCCGTTGCCATGTTTTTCAAAACCTCATTCTGTTCCCAATAATCTGTCTTATCATCATCGAACCCAATCTGCATCCAAATCATTGTCACGAACAATTTAATTAATTATAACAACGTAATACACTCAACATTTTAAAAATTTATATTATTAGCCACAATCTCATATTAATTGAAGTTGTAAAATCTCTATTGATCTAGACTAAGGAGCAATATTCAACATAACTAATATAGTAAAATGTCATAAATGATCTTAGTTTACCTATGGGCGATAAACAAATATGAAGGAATATACACATTAATTCGTGCATGCACTATAGATACAATATATTAGTTGCGCGAATTAAAAAATTCG